CGGGCCGCCCGCTGGCCGGTTGTCCGCTCACCCATGAAGCGGCTGGCAAGGTCCCCCGCGCGACGCAAGCAAGGGTCGTGCACGCGCAAGCTTGCTCTGAATTGGCCAACTCGCCTCGGAACTTTTGGTTTTCGACGAACGACCGGCAGGACAGTGGCCCAACTCATTCCCCTCGCGCATTCAAATTGCGGTGCCGCCGAGAGAACGCGACGGCGGCGTCACGCACGCCGGCCTGTGGACCAGTGCGTCGGGCCGTGGTGACGTCACCGCCCGCTTTAGTTCGGTCCGGCCCGCGACCGGTGCGTGCGCGCGCTTGTGACGTCCTGACCCCGACGTCACACGTTGACGCCGAGAACGTGGGACACTGTTCGCGTTTGGCATCGGCGTGAGGCGCTACTCCGTAATTGACGTCAAGTGCCACAAGGTGGCGCCGTTGTTCCACTTTTAGCTTTTTTGAAACCGCATCTTTTTTTTGGGGGGGGGCGTTGCTCGAACTTTGACTCTTTTGTTTGATTTTGATTTTTTTTTTTTTTACATTTGCCGTTTCAGGATTTCACTCCTTGAATTTCTTTTTGAAATCCCCCGTTTCTGTTTTGCAAAACATGCGGAATTTTACTTTAATGTCGAAAGGACCATTCATGGGACTGCGTGGACTCGCGAAAAAGTAGTAGCCCCCCTTCTAAAAATTATTTTCGATCTTCTGGGGGCTTCCCCACTTCGATGTTTTAGGATCATCAAACAAATGTCAAGAACGGACAAAGAAAACCTGGGTCAACACAAATGCCGTTTTGCAATGGTGATTTATGTCGCTGGCGCCAGTATCGAGTGGATTGGTTGCCATGACAACTAAAATATTATTTATTTGAGCTTGATGTTTGTGAAGGCGTGTTTTCATGTGAACCTTCATATTTATGTTTTTCTTTAAATCTCTTCAAGATGTTATTTGGGATGTTTTCTCAACGATCGTTTCCGGTTCAGGGTCACGTGTGGTGGATGGCGAGGGAGTTCGGGAGAGAGACGAAACGATACCGTCTGGTCGACTTTATTTTAGATGATCTACTTTTGGTTTAACAAGGTGCACACGGTATGTATTTGTTTTTTGCTTATTTACTTCATGCCTTGTCAAAGAGATGATTGTAATGTTGATTGTTGTTTGAAATATGTTCCACGAATCAAACGTTTTCGGACATCAGTTCGAGGCGTCGTCCTTGACCAGGGAAGATACAATTTGACTTCTTGGGGGACGAGGGGTGACTTTTCAAAGCTACCTGAGCCTGTGTGGAAAACTACGTTGCCCCCTTTTTTGATCCCAATTTGACTGCGGCTGTTATGGCAACGTTTTTTTTTCTCCAGTTGATTTTCACTGAGCACAGCCAAGTGCCACGACCTCCAGAGCTGCTCAATCAACAAATCAGCCAAATGGAACTCGTCGGAGGGCGGCCCGGTGGTCCAGCGGTTAGCGCGTCGACCTCACAGCGCAGAGGTGCGGGCTTCAATTCTGGCTCTGGCCTCCCTGTGTGGAGTTTGCATGTTCTCCCCATGCCTGTGTGGGTTTTCTCCGGGCACTCCAGTTTCCTCCCACAAAAACATACGTGGCAGGTTAATGGAACACTCCAAATCGTCGCGAGGTGTGAATGTGAGCGCGGATGGTTGTTCGTCTCTGTGTGCTCTGCGATTGGTTGCCAACCAGTTCAGGGTGTCCCCTGCCTACTGCCCAAAGACAGCTGGGATAGGCTCCAGCACCCCCCGCGACCCTTGTGAGGATAAGCAGTGTTAGTGTTCAAATATAAAAGTGGCTGAAAATAATAGTAATTTTTTTTTTGAGGAATGAAAACATCTTTTGACTAACAGTCCTACTTAACTACAATGTTTTACTGTTAATCATGGAACTGGGGAGCTAATTATTTGTAAAATGTTAGAACCACTGTACATAATTGACCTATTCACTTTTTTGTGATATTTTTTGGATGGTGTGTGAGATTTTTCTCATGAAAAATATAACTTGGCTCAATAAAGGTTGGGAAACAGAATTAAAGTAAACCTCTTAACGTTTAATAGTATAGTTGCTATACTTGTTTCTCACTTACTCTCATAATATCAATGAAAAATATACATGTGCTTTTTTAAAATTGTTGTTTCTTCCAAAGACTGAACCGGGAGTCACAGCTTGGAGTTGAAGCGGATTACGTGGGACAGGAGAAGTGAACTAATCTCTTTTTGTCAATGGACGCTACAGCTTCGTGTTTGCTTTCAAAACTTAGCTTGTAGCAGACGTGCACATTTTCAGCATGATGTCTCTAATCCACTGGTAAAAGGTCACTTTGATCCTCTCCTCTTTCATCTGCGAGAACGTGGGACACTGTTCGCGTTTGGCATCGGCGTGAGGCGCTACTCCGTAATTGACGTCAAGTGCCACAAGGTGGCGCCGTTGTTCCACTTTTAGCTTTTTTGAAACCGCATCTTTTTTTTTGGGGGGGGGGGCGTTGCTCGAACTTTGACTCTTTTGTTTGATTTTGATTTTTTTTTTTTTTACATTTGCCGTTTCAGGATTTCACTACTTGAATTTCTTTTTGAAATCCCCCGTTTCTGTTTTGCAAAACATGCGGAATTTTACTTTAATGTCGAAAGGACCATTCATGGGACTGCGTGGACTCGCGAAAAAGTAGTAGCCCCCCTTCTAAAAATTATTTTCGATCTTCTGGGGGCTTCCCCACTTCGATGTTTTAGGATCATCAAACAAATGTCAAGAACGGACAAAGAAAACCTGGGTCAACACAAATGCCGTTTTGCAATGGTGATTTATGTCGCTGGCGCCAGTATCGAGTGGATTGGTTGCCATGACAACTAAAATATTATTTATTTGAGCTTGATGTTTGTGAAGGCGTGTTTTCATGTGAACCTTCATATTTATGTTTTTCTTTAAATCTCTTCAAGATGTTATTTGGGATGTTTTCTCAACGATCGTTTCCGGTTCAGGGTCACGTGTGGTGGATGGCGAGGGAGTTCGGGAGAGAGACGAAACGATACCGTCTGGTCGACTTTATTTTAGATGATCTACTTTTGGTTTAACAAGGTGCACACGGTATGTATTTGTTTTTTGCTTATTTACTTCATGCCTTGTCAAAGAGATGATTGTAATGTTGATTGTTGTTTGAAATATGTTCCACGAATCAAACGTTTTCGGACATCAGTTCGAGGCGTCGTCCTTGACCAGGGAAGATACAATTTGACTTCTTGGGGGACGAGGGGTGACTTTTCAAAGCTACCTGAGCCTGTGTGGAAAACTACGTTGCCCCCTTTTTTGATCCCAATTTGACTGCGGCTGTTATGGCAACGTTTTTTTTTCTCCAGTTGATTTTCACTGAGCACAGCCAAGTGCCACGACCTCCAGAGCTGCTCAATCAACAAATCAGCCAAATGGAACTCGTCGGAGGGCGGCCCGGTGGTCCAGCGGTTAGCGCGTCGACCTCACAGCGCAGAGGTGCGGGCTTCAATTCTGGCTCTGGCCTCCCTGTGTGGAGTTTGCATGTTCTCCCTGCGCCTGTGTGGGTTCTCTCCGGTTTCCTCCCACATTCCCACATTAGTCCAAGATGGCGCCCGAGTAGGCAGCCGTCGGCAAGTGCTCTCATGAGCCTTGCTTTTTTAGTTGTTTTTCTGTTTGTTTTGTCACTTTGTGTCTGTTGTTACGTCGTGTGGACCTGATGTGGACTCTTTTTCAGCATTTTTTGGCTACGACATTCATGAAGGAGGAGACTCGGTGCTTGGTGGTTGCGCCTTCTCGGCAGCATGGGTATGCCAGCACTGATTTTGATAGGGAGGAATGTCGGTGCCATTTGACTGTCGTTGTTGGACAGCTCCGGGGCGCTTGTGTCTTGCGCCTGTAATGGGCAGCATTTTCACAGCCCCGCTTTGTTCAGCGGAGAGATCGGTGCTGTTGAACGGTCTGCGGCTGGATGGATGCAAGGCTTGAGGAGCCGACGATGAGAAGAAAGGAGCGTCAGGTGTGAGCGCGGATGGTTGTTGGCCTCTGTGTGCCCTGCGATGGGCTGGCAACCGGTTCAGGGTGTCCCCCGCTGACTGCCCGAAGACAGCTGGGACAGGCTCCAGCACCCCCCGCGACCCTTGTTAGGATAAAGCAACTCAGAAAATGGATGGATGGACGGACGTTGAGCGAAATCAAAAATGGTCGGCGTAAAAAGTTGTGATTTTGTGAAAATCTGAAAAATGAGGAGGAAAAAGGTTTTCTATGACAAAGTCATATTTTGGGGTGTAAAAAGTTGTACAAAAATCATTGGAACCCTGAATTCCACACCCGAAGCCTGGCTTGAAAGCTTCCTGCTCTTCGATAGCCTCAGCCTATTTACCAAGCCGAACGCCCAATTCATTCATCATCATCAGGACCCAGGACACGCATTGTCTGTCGCAACATTTCTGGGCGGAGTCAGGTGATGCGCGAATTGTGTGACATCATAGGGAGGCTGTTGAACAACAACACCAAGGCGACTTCTTTTCCCCCTCATTTAATGGAGCTCGGGCCAAGGCGTCGGTGACGGACGGGGCGGGTGGGGTCTCATCTGTTGTAAGGATGCATGGAGGCCGACGCTGACTTGATGTTGGTTTTGATGCCTGGCATCTTGCCTGAAAGAAAAAGAAAAATGAAAACACCTTCAAACCCGAATCACGGCTTGAAATGTTCCCGCAAAGCCTCGGCCTTGTCTGATGGCAACAGGAAGTGAGGTCCTACCTGGCTGTCCTTGCTGCTGGGGGGGTCCTCCCAGGGGCCCCTGCTGGCCGGCGGCCCCCATGGTGACCTGCTGCAAGGTGGGGGGCCCGCCGGGCATCAGGGCTCCCGGCGGGCCCGCACTTTTGGTTTAACAAGGTGCACACGGTATGTATTTGTTTTTTGCTTATTTACTTCATGCCTTGTCAAAGAGATGATTGTAATGTTGATTGTTGTTTGAAATATGTTCCACGAATCAAACGTTTTCGGACATCAGTTCGAGGCGTCGTCCTTGACCAGGGAAGATACAATTTGACTTCTTGGGGGACGAGGGGTGACTTTTCAAAGCTACCTGAGCCCGTGTGGAAAACTACGTTGCCCCCTTTTTTGATCCCAATTTGACTGCGGCTGTTATGGCAACGTTTTTTTTTCTCCAGTTGATTTTCACTGAGCACAGCCAAGTGCCACGACCTCCAGAGCTGCTCAATCAACAAATCAGCCAAATGGAACTCGTCGGAGGGCGGCCCGGTGGTCCAGCGGTTAGCGCGTCGACCTCACAGCGCAGAGGTGCGGGCTTCAATTCTGGCTCTGGCCTCCCTGTGTGGAGTTTGCATGTTCTCCCTGCGCCTGTGTGGGTTCTCTCCGGTTTCCTCCCACATTCCCACATTAGTCCAAGATGGCGCCCGAGTAGGCAGCCGTCGGCAAGTGCTCTCATGAGCCTTGCTTTTTTAGTTGTTTTTCTGTTTGTTTTGTCACTTTGTGTCTGTTGTTACGTCGTGTGGACCTGATGTGGACTCTTTTTCAGCATTTTTTGGCTACGACATTCATCAAGGAGGAGACTCCGTGCTTTGGG